CCCAATCACAGCACCTTGCCCTCCTGCTATTAACCCTAAACATTCCCTAGAAAAGTTGGTTTTCCTTTTCAGAGATCTTACAATGCTGTGTGCACTTAAAACAATTTAATTTTAGAAGTACTCAGTCATGATGCCTTGTTTCAGGCTTTCATGTGGGAAGGAACAGTTAGAACCCACAAAGTGAAGTCCAGAGAGTGCTGTGTTTACCCAGGGAAGATAGTGAGAGAATTCACTAAACAGAAGGAGACCCACTTAACTCCTTTGAGGATAACGATTTAGTTATGCTTTTGCACTTCACCAGGGTACAAACATCAACTGAACTGTAATAAATGAGGACAGGATATTTATGGCTCTGGGGACTCTCAAGATTTTGCAGCTATTTTGTGGATACAGATTGGATAGTGCTCCTAAAGCCCATAGGTGATTTTTGGAAAATATGATTTTTATCCTTTCGTGATTAGTGTGCATACAAATAGCTCCTTCTGGAATTCACATAGTCCGTACTTATTTTTTTTTGACAAATGAGTAGGGAAAAGAAGAGGTTAGCTGTGCCTCAGAAGTGCAAATCCTGTTTTTTTCTTATCATACTTCGCACATTCTTTGAGGCAGGGGACCATGCTTTTCTTGCATGCTTACTCAGTGTGATCACCCCATTGCTTTTCTATGTCAAGTGCTACTGGTTATACAAGAAGTAAGAATAGCAATGGAAATCAAGGCTCTGATGGAAATAAGTCCATTGGAAAACCATTTCTGTCCCAGCTAGCAAAAGTAGTTTCTCCAGGTTAGCTCTCACTGACAGCACAGAAATTTAGCTGTGATTTTCCAGGTGCTGTGATACAGTGTTACTTCAGAGTATTTCACCAGAGGCAATTATAGATGAACCAGTGAAACTAGGCTACCTTTTAATCCATTCATCAAAATGTCAGATTGTCCCATATAGAGGCAAGAAAAAACATATATACATTGCATCTAGATGGGCTGTTCTGTTAGAAATATACTATGCAGTATATAAACCTTCCTGACTAAAGAACTGATCAAGTATCTGTTGCTTATTACATTGGGAAGAGCAAAGTATAAGAAACGTCCTCTTCAGTGGTTTAACTTTGTGGGCTTGCAGTTGCTTGGTAGCTCTATTTGTATGGTGTGTCCCTCTCTGGTCCTGGACTAGATGGTTAAACCATTCTAAAAAGAAATGTATTAAACGGGGATTTAAATCATTCTAAAAAGTAGTATATTAAATGGGGATGACCACATTTTGTTAAAGTGTTTTCTTGTTGTCTGAGAAATATCTATGCTGAACTTATAGACATTCTTGACCTTCACCAATATCTTCAGTTTCAGAAGATTACTAAGTGTTTACAGACAAATGAGTGTGATGGCTCTACAAATCACGGTGCACTAGATTTACACAATACTCTTACTCAATTTTACTCATTAACACATTCTCCTTTTGTTTCTTTTTTTTTATATTTTTTTTATTTGTAAAAGTTGGTGACTGATCATCTCTGATGGACACTAGAAAGAAGAAAGAATGCTTATCCCAATGAACTTTATTAGACATTGAGCCCCTTATTTGATCTTTGACTTTTCCCCAGTTCTCCAGGCCAGCACAGCTCATATGAGAAAGACAGCAAAAAAAAACTTTTGTAAGAAAGCCTGTGGGCACTTGTGATTTGCTCTGTTGTAGAGGGAGCTGAAGGAAGTAGCTGATATTGCACGAGGAGCAGTGGGAGTCTCATCTGTTCCTCTCGGATTTTTCTAGTAGAAAGGAACTTGGACAGAAAGGAGACACTTAGATTATTTTGTCTAGGCTGCTTCCATCACTTGCAAACAGGCCATGGATCCTTTTTATAAACTGACTGGTCAAGTACTATCATCTTTGTTAAGCATTTATTTTTTTCCCCCCTAACACATTGTTGATTAGGTACCGTCCTCTGAATCCATTTGGTCTGGCACTGACATCTTGTAGATTAAGCTGACAGTAGCCTCCCTTCCCATGATGTTTATCACCATGATGTATTGCTATGCAGCCATTACATTCTCTCTCAGACCTCAGTAAGAGCTAAGTAAGCCAAGCTAGGTTCCTCTCTTACCCAGGGGAAGGCTCAGCTTTTCCCTTGTGTTTTAGCCATCCTTTTCTGTGCTTATTCTAATTTACATTAATTCATCCTCAGCATGGCTAACCAGAACTGGACACTCTGCCAAGTTGCAGTAGTTGGTATTACTGTTGCCTCAGTACATTTGGAATCACAGATCTTTATTCCTCTCACACTGGTGTGCCATAGGCAGCCTGTATTTTTCAGTCATCTGCAAGACTTTCTTTAATTTGAACTGTTGATTCTAGTGTGTGGCTTTCTATCTTACACTATTCTTCTCAGTGAAAAGACTTTAACAAGTTCTCTTATGCTCTCATCTTTATTCTTTGAGTTTATTTCATGCAGTGTTTCCCTACTTTTCCTTTTATATCTATCTGTCCTATACAAAATACATCCCTCAGGACAAGCAACAATGGGGAGCTAAGGGGTAGAGATAAGAAAATCAAGACATAGGCTCTCTGGGCCCCTTTAGCATCATAAAGGATCTATATCCTTCCCTGGAAGACAAATCAGAGCCAATTTGTTTCCTTTTGCTAACTCTCATTTGTTTCAACACATGATTTATCACCAGGGTCTCGTCTTGCATCTCTGAAACAAACACCAGATGCTTTCCACTCTTGCTTATTTCTCCAGCCACTTCAGATTCAGCCAGCATCAATTCCAATATCTCAGGGAGGGCCATGTTTGTGCAGCCTGACAATAAAATCTATATCTTTATTCACAGCATTTAGTGAATTCATAAAATGGGGTCGATGGCATCCTAATGGTTATTTCATCTCTTGGTCAATTTTAGGCAAATCCTCAGAATACAGATGCATACAAGCACTAGGGAAGCAAAGACCCCCATCACTGTGATGGCACAGTGAAGAAGTGGCATGTAAATTAGCAAACTGGGATGGAAGCTGATCCCTAACCAAACAGTGTGCAAGCACTGATTCTGACTTTTCACCACAAAGAGGTGGAGAGAGAAAAAGAGCTCAGAAGCTTCTCCTCCCAGTTTTTGCTGTATCAAGGTGAAAGGCAGAATTTTGGATCTGGTATTGGGAGACAAGTGTTGGAGTGAACTGGGATGGGGCTTAGAGGTGCAGTCAATTTGAATATCCACAAAGGGAGCAGACACAGCTGTGATTTTGGCTTTGAACTACCTCCCTTCCCTTGGATGGAGCATGGTAAAGTGTGCATTGTTTAGGAGGGAACTGGGAGTTTGTAGCTCACTTTTGAGTGGTGTTCTCTCCAGAATATGTCATGCAGGTGTGCCTGTGATGCTATATAGTCAAATTGGGTTCACAGATTTCTCCATGCCCAAGTCCCAAAGCATTATTTGTTAGCTGCAGGACTACTACTGCTGCTGGAGCAGGGCCCCTTTCACAGCCACCACTTCAGTAGCTGTGGGTAGCACAGCCTCTGCCAGACCTCCTATTTCAGTGCACTTTTGCTCTGAAATATGTGGGTTTGAGGTGAAAAGAAAGAAAAGAACACCAGAGAAAAATATTGTATCCTAGGGGTGAGGGCAAACGCATAAAGGTGATTTCTGTTGTATAAAGACTCCTCATGACTATTCCTGCATGCTTCCTTTGTGTGATGGATCTGATGGCACATCTTATGTTTGTTTTTCACAAAACAAAACAAAACAAAACAAAACAAACAGCAAAAATCCATCAAATATAGCACATAGCATTGATTCTTGGAGCTAAAATAGCAAATGTCAATACATTAAAGCAGACGGTCATTCCTGAAGGAAAGATCTCTAGGAGGCGAGTGTCAGACAAGTTTTTACTTTGCCCACAGTTTTGGACTGAGTGAACAAACCCCTGTGACAACATCACTAATTTATCCCACCTTTTCATCTTGGGAGATGACAATCCATGAAACTACAGGCTAGGAATGGGTGCAGGGTGCAAGGTGCAAGGCAACAAGTGGGGAACTTCTAGCAGGGTGCCTAAAGCTCAGTCTCTGCTGTTCCACATCTGCTTAGCTAGCCTACAGTTTTCTCTAGGACACTGGTCCAACTTTTGACCATTCTCATGTATTTTTTTTTTCCTATTATCTAATTTGAGTTTCCTTTATTACAACTTGCCTGTTGCCTTGCAAAGGCTGAATACAGAAGAAAAATCACTTCTCTTGACATGCAGGCTACACTCTTGCTAATGCAGTCCAATGTGATGTTGGTCTTTCCAAAAACGAGCACTGCTGACTTTTGCTCAAATCGTTGTCCACTGAGATGCCCACAGCTCCCTCCTGACACCAGAAATGGATTTCTTAAAGAAAGAAAAACTTATCACTTGGGGTGCCAATGTCTTTTATATAAACAATGAAAGATGAAGGAGGTGATAAACACTTCTATCAAGTATGCTGTACAGATTTGAACCCAAACCCCAAAAGAAAAGAATTCCTATTGAGCTCTGTTGCATGCCATTTTGAAATCTTTCAAGAATGTTTGTTTGTTATACTTCTCTTCCAGATCTCCAGGATTAATAGTTTTAAATGCTTGGATGCAGGGGTAAAGAAAAATAAATATAATTAGCATATTTTTGAAGAAATTGGAGTGCTTTTTCATCTCCATTACTGAGAAATTGAGTCTTCTTTACTTTATATAGATTTTGTCTCTGAGAGCTTTTGTTCAAATGGTATTTGCTATGTAACAAAACTTGATTTAGTGAGGGGATATGCTTAGAAGAGATGGAAGGAAAGTATTAGCATTTCAGTGGAAATTTTAATATACACATTAAATGGCACCAACACTCAGACAACTTGATGCTTTTATTAACTTAGACTCTTAGTCGTTAAATGTTTTTCTTCTACTGTTGCTCCTTCTTTTCCTGCTTATTACTCTGGTGCTACACAACACATCATTTTCTCACATCAGATCTCCAAATGGTATAGTCTGCCTGTTTTTTTCCACAGTATGTATACTGGACTTGTGGACAACATGATGTCTATTAAAAATGAAGGGCAAATAACAATGTCAACCTCGAAGCACAAAGTAGATAAGCCTTTTCGACATGGCTATGATAGGACAGTGTGCACTAGACTGATGAAATGTGACATTGCCACTCAGTCAAGGTAAGTTCTGTTACTTGCACTTCTGCAATTAGACCTTCATCCAATCCTGTTGGTCCTGGCTTGCAATAAGTATACTAGCCAAAGGTCTGGTCCAGTTTCATATGTAGAAAGACTAACTCAGGGCCACCTCCCTATGGCAAAGAGCACAATGCATTGCAAAGCCAAAAATGATTTGTCTGAATAGGTTTTGAAACATTACTGAAGCAATGATAATAAATACATAATAATAATAAACTTTTCATTCCCTATTCTGATCATCATTTTAATCTTGGTGACCATAATTTGTTTTTAGCCTGAGAGATTATATAAATTCTGTTCTTTTGTACAGTGAAGCAACAATATCATGCCAATACTAACAGGGAGCAGATTCATAGATCACAAATCAATATCAATTTGGATGTCACCAAGTCTGACATCCTACTGGAGATGAAGAACTTCGCTGAGCAGATCCTTCCTGAACAGAAGAAAAAGGTTAGAGCTTTATTTAAAAATTGTCAGAAGTGAAGAAATCACCATCACTACTGGTGAATGCTTCAAGTTGATAATGATCCTTAATATTCCAAACTCTCACCTTATTTTCAATTTGATTTTATCCACTCCTTGCTTCCTAGTCATTAGAATTTGATACTGGGGAAGAAGTCTTTATGCTCTTTTTCTCTCAAAACCAAATTCACTGGTTCTCTGTTTCAAGCTTCTAGGAAGAAACACATCATTTGACTTGAACAACAACAACAAAAAAAGCCCTTTGCTCTGTATTATTTCTTTTAAAATTATTTCTTTAAAATTATTTCTTGCTGGTCTGCCAAGACACAAGATCCATTGACTGCACCCTTCATATTCTGGTCTTTAAAACAGACATATCTGGAATCTGTTGCTGTTACTAGTAAGCAGTCACACAACCAACTAACACATTTACACCATTGATGCAACTCAGCTCAGTAGCTGTTCCTGAGGGAGACAGTGATTCAGGTCTTGATACAATGGAGGAGGATATTCTAAATGCAAATAGTTTCCAGCTGTTCATTTAGTTGTGTATGCTAAACTCTACTAAAACTGAAAAGATGCTGAAACATAAAAGACAAAGAAGTTTAAAAACAATTACTGAAATTAAAAAAAAAAAAAGTGAAAATAGAATAAAAAAGAATCAAGACTATGGTTACACATTTTTGCAAAGGAGCTGCTTGTCTAAGAAGAAAAGAAAAAAAAAAGCACACCAAACAAAATATGAGGAAGTCTGAAACAAAGAGTTAACAGGTTCAGATCAATTCTCCAGCATGGTATAATTCTCCATCACTCACTATCACTATGTTTACACCTCCCACATAGCCTTTCCCTTGCCTCTTGTTTTATGCTGTAATGGAAATGCACTGTTGGACTTCTACTGTTGACTTTATATGTTGTTTATTAAGTGTGTAGAACATATTTTGAAAGAAATATGTCCCAGGGTACATCAAGCTATGTCAGGCTGATAGGCTTTCTCATACTGTGGTAAGTTGTTGAAGCAGAATTTGCTCATGGTGAGGGCTAGAATGATTGATCTGTTTGGTGGCTTGAAATCTGTTGATTATAGGGTGTTGTAGCTTATGTAGGTGTGTGGGCAGTTTTCTAGTTTGTATTTCATTGTATTGTATAGTAGCTAGCATAAGCAAGAGGGATATTTTTAACATGTATTCTAACGCATGTTTGAACTTTAGCATATTGAAATCCCTTATTTCCTGTTTAAGGGATATATTTCTAATCACCCAGCAATAACCTCTTTTGATGCCCATAGACCTTTTAGAAGAAAATTTAACAATTAATACATGATAATTGTATTTCTGAGGTAAAGTAAAAATCAGGCTGGAAATAAGGCATTTTTAAGGCATTGTGAAATGAAGGTAATTAACTATAAACTATTTTTCACTTAATCAATTAACTACTTACCCCTAAAATATTTATAAAATAAACATTGTGCATTATCTGAAGATTGTCAGTGAGACTGCAGATCTTTTGAGTGTACACTCAAAAGCCTTCCTATGAAGTACCCTCCAGATAATCAAGTATCTGTGGACTTTGTATAGGAATTGCAAGGGGAAATTTCATAGCTAAGTAGGAGATCAAACAACATTCTCTGTACTTATATTATTTAGAGCTTTCACAGAATTAAAGAACTTTCTTCACTAGCTCTCCAAGCACTTGAAAGAAGAATATATTAGACTTAACCATGGAAACATCACCCTTTCCTTTCTCAGCTGGGGAAACTAAGGCACCATGAACTTATAGGGCTGGTATTTTTTAAAGTGGGCTGGAATTTCAGGTGCCATCTCTTTGGGGTGTTCAGCCTTTGATGCACAAAGGGTGGTTAGACTAGTTATAGTAAGCTGTCTGAGGTCCTGTTCCTAGCCTGCACAGTAGAATAATGGCAAAAGGAGAGCATGACATTCCCACATCATTCTTTTGCCTTTTATTTTTTTCCTACAGTGATACAAAGCTTAGCACAGTCCTCTATGCATTAGCCACCATGATTCCAGATGACTGAATGGTTCTGCCGATGTGCTTCACAGTCCTGAGGAAAAGACAGACTCTGTGTTCAATGGGTGGATCAAAGGTCCACCCTCTAGACTGAGAAAAGAGTTGGAGTCATGAAATGCAATATTTCATTGTGAGGTACCAAGAATGTTGGTACTGCTGCCAAAAGCTAAGACAATCTGTACCTTCTTCCCCCTGTCTTTTACACAACAGTATGTCACATATCTGTAACACCATGCTGTAGCAATGATTAACCAGCAACCTCTAGAAACATAGGAAAAAGAAAGGTTAGTAACATAATGACATGGAGCCCTCTCTATTCCTACCCTTCAGCCTCTTAGCCTGTCTCACAGTGCTGTCCCCAGACAGACAGACAGATATGGGCTGCTGGCTGTTCTTTGAAGGACTGTAGACATTGAGAGCTGCAACAGGTTATGTACTCCATGGTCTCCTATTTGTCCATGTATCCTACTAACAAAACCTCCTGGAAATTCCCAAGAGTCAGCATTTGTCTCCTCGTTTCTTGGAAGGGTGGTAATCAAACTCGGTAAGGGATCTGTTCTTTATCATTACATTAGGACATTTTGAGAGTAATCCAGACCCATTTCATGTTATCATACCCTTCTTGAATGTGCTAGATGATTCTTTCTCTGATAGTACTTAATAGTTGCAAATATAGAGGAAGCAAGAGTTTTTGTTTATTTATATTGGGCAGCAGCAACTGTTACGTGCTAGTGGCCCATTATGCAGGGAGTTGTACAAACATCACTCACAATAAGCTTGTAGACATTTATTATATCCCTCAGGCAATTGGCATCTTACTCTTTAAGTGGAGGAAACTTTGAAGGCAGATCAAATTAATCCATGTTATAATTCATACATTTAGATAATTTTGATTAGCTTGCATATTAAGGAAGTTCCAGAGCATCCCCATGGAAACAGACACTGAATTTACTTGTCTGTATCCATCTCATAAGATGTTCAGAACAGTAGCCAGTACTCCCAGTGAACTCTTTCAGCATCACCTTGCTGCTGGGGGGCTGCTAGCTCTGGCCTGTGACGGAGCATCTCCATTTTTGCTGCCCAAAGTCTGTACAGGTCTTTTCAGATATTAGAAAATTAGATTTGAGTTTGTATTTCAAAGAATGGGTGCAGATTCTAATGAGCATACTGTACTGAATTGAGATAGCCTCTCTCTTCTCATACCCACTAGAAATTGTAAACCTGTGACAAGTGCACTACATGACCACACTGTTTACATCAGTATGTTGTCATTTGCTGTTGATCTTTGTTTTCAGTTCCAACATTTTGTTCTTTTCCAAATCTGTTGGAATCAGTTTCATGGATAAGCTTTCCAAAAGCATCATAACAAACATCATGAAAAGCAAGGAAGTGTACTCGATATTAGTGTGGTTCATTTCATCACATAGAGGATCGTAGGATCATAGAATGATTTGGGTTGGAAGACCATATAATCCCATCCCTCTGCCATGATCAGGGACACCGCCCCAAAATCCAGGCTGCCCAAATCTCATCCAGCCTGGGCTTAAGCGCTGCCACCCACAGTGGCACCCACAGCTTCTCTGGGCAGCTTGTGCCAGTGCCTCACCACTGCCCAGGATATGGTTGGCTTTCTGGGCTGCAAGAACACACTGCTGGCTCATGTCAAGCTTCTTCTCCACCAGCACCCCAAAGTCCTTCTCATCAGGGCTGCTCTCAATCCATTTTCTGCCCAAGCTGTATTTCTATTTGTGATTGCCTCAGCCCAGATGTAGGATCTTGCTCTTGGCCTTGTTGAACCTCTTGAGTGTGTGCAGGCCCACCTCCCAAGCCTGTCCAGGTTCTCCCTTCCCTCCAGCGTGTTGACCACACTACACAGCTTGGTGTCATTGGCAAATTTGTGGAGGGTCCACTCAATCACACTGTCCATGTCACTGACAAAGATGTTAAACAGTGCCAGTCTCAATACTGACCCCTGAGGAACACCACTCATTACTGATCTCCAACTGGACATTCAGCTGTTGACCACAACCCTTTAAGTGTGACCATACAGCCAGTTCCTTGCCCACCAAGTGGTCCATCCATCAAATCCATGTCTCTCCAATTTAAAGACAAAGATATCATGGGGGATAGTGTCAAATGCTTTGCACAAGTCCAGGCAGGTAATGTCAGTTGCTCTTCCCTTATCCACCTATGCTGTAACATGCTAAACATGCCTAAATGTTTCATCAGAAAGAATCTGGAAAGTCAATCTGTGTGAGCTACTTACAACATTGCATCTAGGAGCCCGAGAGGGTGCAGGTGAGACTGTGAAGAAATGTCAGAAACATGCAATAGCTCTGTACTTTGCATATTGCTGGGTAGAATGGAAGGCCAGTTTGGTTGAAGATGAGCATGAGGTAGATTGTCAGGCAGGTCTGGTCTACAAGACAGCAGGTAGGACAGAGAGGCATGTTTTCTAGTCAGAATTCAGTCTCTGCCTTCAGAAAACTTACTTAAATCTGTGATTTTGATCTGTCTCATAGAGCACCCCCTATGACAGAGACACTGTCTACGGGGAAAATTAGTAGGACCCACTACAACAGAAGTAATCACCCATCTGCAAAACAGGAATGTAATGCAAAACAGAGTGAGAATCCCTGCTGTAGAATTAACTGAATTGGATGCAAACTATACTATTTTTATCTGCATAAAGCACCTAGTTTTTTTGTTTGTTTGTTTTTGTGATCCATCTGTATTATACTTAGCAGCAACGTGTTATCCAAAGGTAGATTAAGTTAAATTTCTTCTCCTCCTAAGTGACCATTCTTTATAACTAGAAAACAATCTCTAACTTAAGGAAATTGTATATAAAATTTACTGCTAACATTTAGAACATAGTTTTAACTTTTGTGCAAGCAATAACAGATAATGATTCAATGGGAGAACTGGAACGTACATTTAGTGCAAAGAGAACTTCCATT